AAGCTGAATCCACAACCACTTGTTTTTGCACTGCTTTGTCACATCTCTAGTGTGGCAAATGCTCTACAGTCTCTTGGGTTTTGAAATTGACCATGCCAAGAGCAACTAAAGATTTCTTGTTGAACTGGAATAAGAGGGGTTGGAACAAGAATGTAAAGAGGGCCTAGTATGCAATCCCTTCTTAGTGCTGCTTTTGACATCAATACTACATACCATTTCAAAAAATAATAATGGCTAAATATCTAACCCCTTAAACTTGGCACATATCTCAGTTTTGCTAATGATCGGATACACCTCAACTGGGCAGGAATGTGTCTCGTGAATATAGAAGTCTGACATAGCTTGAATGTATTTTTCATGCAATTTTAAGCGCGTAAATGGCTTACAATGAGCTGACATGGCTTTCTTTTTTCACGTTTTACTTTTCTTTGATTTCTTCGGTAAAATCTCAACAATGGCACCACCAGCACTACCACTACCACTCTCGTCAGACTTCATCCTCTTCTACGCAAAACCAGCCACCACAAATACACTCAACACTTGCAACACCTCCATTAAAAGAGCTTCAACCATAAACTATTTCCACTGAGAGCAAGCTAGTGCAGAAGATTCTCAAAAATATGTTGGGTGAAGAAGGCGGAAGATCTGGGGAATGGGGAAGGGCTTTCATGGTAGAGGATGCCTTAGAACTAGGTAACACTTGGAAAAAACAGAAGAAGAAGAATCCCTTAGTGATGGTAGAGGCTGTTGCACCCTTGCCGTTTGGGAGATTCCTTAATGGCGGTGGATTAGATAATAGTGGCGGAGGTGGAAAGGTTTTTTTGATTTTCTCTGAAGGAGAAGAATCAAAGGGGGATGAAGGGTGGGGACAAATGTTGTCTCGTTTTTCTTGTTAAGAAGAATAAGAAGGGGCAGAGTGTTGGGAGGTGTAGGTAGTTTGTTTGGTTTTTTCTGTGAAAAAGAAGCATAAGGACAGAAGTGGGAAGGCGGAAATCTATTTTTTTGGATTTTTTTCTAATGACACCTAATTTATTTTTTTCTGCTAATGACATGTGCCTGTACTTTATTTGTTATCTAACATATCATCAATGTGTAAATTACACGGGTTTGATTTCGTTGAGCGAAAAGCTCATAATAGATATATTTGTCTAATTGAGGTGTCCAACTAGTCATTGGCAAAGTTGAGTTGTTTAATTGACATTTTGTGCCAAATTTAAGGAGCTATCTAGTTGTTTGGCCTTTAATAATGGTCAAATTTGAAATTTGGATGAAAAATGTACATTCTTGCAAATTGGCTAATTGAAAACTTGAAATACAAAAATGAAAGTGACTAATTCTCATAAAAAATATCACAAATTTTCGTTACAATACGACTTTGGAAAAAATAGGTATTCAAATAAATTTGACTAACTCTTGCGGCAGGGGGCCTTTCTTCTTTCCTTTTTTTTTCAATTTTGTCTTACTGGGTCGGTTCGGCCCGGGTACCATAGGCCATGTTCCGATTGGGCTAGGTTAATGGGTCAAAATATGGGCTTGGTCAAGCCCTTCAAGTGAGGGGGTCTAGCCGGTTAGAGGGTTGGGGATTGGTTAGGGGCCTATTTTAAGGGGGTTACATGGGTCGGTTTGTGGGTCGACATGGACCACTTGACAGGTCTAGTTGCAGTTGGCGTATTTATTTTACATTGAACTCAATATGAAAAACTACGTATTGGTAATGCTTGTATTAGACAAGTAAATAACAAAAATGCCCTTTATTTAATTATCTCTTCATATCTCTCAATTGCTTCTAATAATGTTTGTAGTATTGATTCATTATGAGAAATTCTTTATAATAGAATTTTGATGTTTAAAAGAGGGTTGGAGGGAGGTCATAGCAGAAAAGTATGATTCCACGGGAGGGGGTTGGAGGACCAAGGCAATCACAACACTGTTCGGGTGTGGCATGTGGAGGAACATCATGAAGAACTGGGAAGCTTTCTATGGCAGCATCACTTACAAGGTGGGAGATGGAAGGAGAATCAGCTTTTGGAATCACAAGTGGTGTGGAGAGGCTACTCTGAGGGTTTCTTTCCCACACGTCTACAGAGCTTCAAACCAGAAGGAATTGATGGTCCAACAAATACGCAAGGAGCATGAAGGGGGGATAGTATGGGACCTCTCTTTTAGAAGGAACATGCAAGATTGGGAGATTGCGGAGCTCCAAAATTTATTGGCACTGCTATACGGGCAAGATATGCCCCATCCATCTTATGATTCTTGGAGATGGGGGTTGCGTGATGATGGCTTGTTCACCGTAAAGTCCTTCTACCAGAGTATGTTGGTGAGACAGGAGGCTACTTTCCCATACTCATCGATCTGGATTCCTAAGGCGCCCACGAAGGTGTGCTTCTTCGCGTGGCTAGCAGCGAGGGGAGTGATCTTGACATCTGAAAATCTGCGAAAGAGAGGAATTACACATGTTAGTTGGTGCTACATGTGTAAAAGCTCAGGGGAAGAAGTTGATCATCTTATGCTGCATTGCCCTGTGTCCTGGGGTCTATGAAGGGCAATCCTGAATCTCTTTGGTGTTCAATGGGTGATGCCAAACACTAAGGAAATGCTATATAGCTGGGCCGGTTTCCGTAGAAGAAGCAAGCAAAAGGCGTGGAAGTTCGCCCCGTTAGCTCTCATGTGGTTAGTCTGGGGAGAGAGAAATAGGAGAGTTTTTGAGGGGATTGAGTCTTCGTTTTCACATCTTAAGAATAGTCTTTTATCTCTGATCGCTTTTTGGTGCACACATGTAGCCCCTGCTTGTGTAGAAGATTGGGCGTCATTTGTAGGGAATCATGTTCTGATGTAAATTCTCTACTTTTTGTATACTTCTTGTATACGGGAGTTTTTTCTCCCTTTTGATTAATACAATTTACCTTATCAAAAAAAAAAAAAGAGCAATGCAAGATTTATTTATTGTTACTCATATTTTAATATACCTAATTTTAATTTTCCTTCAATTTTTTTTTACTTGATAGACTTAAAATTTATAATTATATACCTAATTTTTTTTTTCCTTATAAAAAAATTATATATAATTTTTAATTTTATGATACTAATTATTTTTACTCCCTTTGTTTTAGTTATGTGACCCTATTTCGTTTTAATATTAATAACCCCTTTCTAGCTTTGAAACAACAACAACAACAACAACAACAACAACCCAGTATAATCCCACTAGTGGGGTCTGGGGAGGGTAGTGTGTACGCAGACCTTACCCCTACCCTGGGGTAGAGAGGCTGTTTCCAATAGACCCTCGGCATCCTTCCCTCCAAGAACTCCTCACCTTGCTCTTGGGGTGACTCGAACTCACAACTTCTTGGTTGGAAGTGGAGGGTGCTTACCATCAAAGAAACCCACCTTGTCTACATAGCTTTGAAACAATTTAACTTAAATTTTTCATTTTACCTTTAATGACAAACTTTTATAATAACACAAATGTTATGGATTGTTTAAGACCACAAGTTTCAAAAGTCTTATAGCTACACAAACTTTGACATGTTTAAGATCACAAGTTCCAAAAGTCTTTATTTTTCTTCAACTCCGTGTGAAGTCACATAGGGTTATATGAACTGAAACAGTAGTAGTGTCACATATGATACTAGAAACTAATATTAGATTGGATACGGGATTTAGTTTTATAGGTCAAGGTATTATTGAAAACAAAACTTTATCTAATTTAAAGAAGACACATTTTAAATGGATATATCCAGATTTAAGTATGAAAAACCAAATATGCGATAGCAACTACAATAATCCAATAATGTGATTCACTGGATTACAATCCTTGCATTATAATGCATGCATAACTTGTGCATGAAACAAAAGATCTTTTATTGTATAACCTAATCCCATCGCAAGTTACAAATAGAATCCGTTAAGAACACATTCTCTATGTTACTTGGCTGCGGGTGCAAGCGTCCGATACATATATAGATCTAGAAGTCAGATTTGTCATTTCCTAAATTTTATGATTCAAGGATGCAGTTAAGAGTACGGATATGGGTTTTGAGATACGACTAGTATATATAGAGTATGAGATGCATGTGTGTGTATATACTTGATTGAGAAGTCACTGAACCAAAAGAAATATGAATAATTTGTGTAAATACCTATCTTATTGCACAAGTATATCACGATAAATAGCAAACATCCCTATTACTTTACTTAAATAGGTGCATATCTATATGCAGCCATGCACATACATGCATATATATGTAACCCAAAGATTGTGACTAAAAACCCTGACCAACCTATGCTTCTTTGTGTAGTTGTGGTCAATGCACCTTAAGTGAATTGATCAAATGCGGTGCGTATCCCACACCTTAAAGGGGGTTTTGAAGGATTGTGTAATATAGCAAATTCTATAAATTCCATTAGTCATAACATATATGATCATGGAAGAACTGGCCCAGATATTTAGAAGTATTTACATTACATGAGTTGCAACGCGACTTTTCAATTATCATTACATTGTACAGAATGTCTCAATAACAGGTTTCTCTCTCATTCTCTTTTCGTCCTCCAATTCACAAATTGACCTCATACTGCTTCTTGGAGACGGTCGAACGTTTTGTTTTTCTTAATTCTTGTAGCTTTTGGGATTTCAGCGTTTCCTGCTATTACATAGAGTAATTAATCTTAAATTTATTATTATATATTTGTTGTCCTTTTCTGGTTCCAATTGAGGTACTCTAGTGTCCAAACATGGGTTGTGAAATGAAAAAAGAACTAAAAGTGTTGGTTGGGAAACAAACTGATGGTAGCAAGCATGTATCCACTTGGAGTCCTTCCAGTGTAATCATGAACCTAGTGCCAGGTGTGTCTGTTTGTAATTGTTCCATGACTCGTGTTCTAAATCACAAGGACAGACACCTATATTTTTGATACAAATGATTTCTAGCTTTTGTTTGGTCATCAATATGAGTCATTAACTATATCCTTATGATCTGGTTATTTGTAGTGTTCACTATTTCGCTTCTTCGTGGTACTAGATGTTTTTTGCAACTTCAATCTTGCATGTGCACCTCATGCAATGGGAGAATGAAAGTTCCGTTCAAGATGCTGTCAACAGATGCAATGTAATATGGAAATCTATTGAATCAGAAAAAGTGAGTCCAGTGCTTTACTTCTTTCTCTGTGTATGTGCTGTGGAGTCCTTTTGCAGAGAATAGGAACATTTGTTCCTTTCTTTACTACAATAGCTTCACTTGTGAACATTTTTGAATCTACATATTGAATGGATTCAATACTGAGACAATTTCATACAATTCTTTTTATGAATGCTGATTTTGAAAATAGGGCTTTTGAAGTCAACTGATGTTCTATTTCTTCTTTCGAATTTAAAAGAGACAGCAATGCCTTGGTTTGCTATTTTACAACGAGCTGTTGCATGTATTTTATCTACTCCGGATATGCGACTACAAGAATGCTGCTCAACATGTTGACAAATTGGATGCTGCCATGAAGTGTGATCTACAGAGGACACAACAGATCAAGGAACTGACTAAGGAGCTTGATGCAGTCAATGGAAGTCTTTCTCGTTCTGATTTGAATTACAGAGACAGATCTTCTCTCTCTGGAAGACAAGCTCACCTTGAGGAGCAACTTAATAACTTAACAGGAAATGGCAAAGAATTTTCTGAACCGATATACTTTGGAAGTGTGAGACGGACTTGGGAAGACAAGCTTGAGTTGGCACCACCTCCTATTGATGGAGAATGGCTACCTAAAGGTGCTATTTATGCGCTGGTAGACCTTACAGTAGTTGTTTTTAACCGTCCAAAAGGACTTTTTAAGGAGTGTGTAAAGAGGATTCAGTCTGGCCTGCAAACTATTCAAGGTTGGTTCTGTGAAGCTGGGTGCATTAGGCTCTATATCTTTCACATTGTTTTACATTCAGCCTTCTGTATAGTTAGTACTTGGTTTCCTAATTTGGTCTATGGGTTTCATCACACTTGGCAGCTTTGGGTAGCAACCTTAACTTTCGGGGTAATAGATCTGTCATGCATGTTTCCATATTTGGAGGATTAAGTGATTTTTTTTCCAACCTTTATTCTTTACCATGTAACCAAACTTCGACGATGAATGCTTTTGGTCTAGCAAATCACGGGTTGGTACAATATGTCACAACTCGCCGTACTACTAAATTATACTGTCAACTTAGTGTGCTCCAAACTCTCAATTTATGGCCAATTTTTTTTTTCTCTAAATCTTCCTTAAATCTTGAAATTGTTTGTAATTCCCATGATTCTAATTGACCATCTTAATTTCTTAAACATTGGAACTAAGTTACTTGAGGATCTTCTATAATTTAAGATAGAAACCTATCCTAGAGAAGGTATCAACAATGTTGAATCAACTGATCTAAATGAGCATTCCTCCAGCAATTACATTTTTGGTTAAGACTGCGTGAAGTGAACTCATTATTGTCCATGAACTGAAACAACTATTGTTTTAAGTTTGTTCTATAGGTTCTCTAGTCTTAGCAGTTTGTTCATGGGGTTTACTGTAAATTTTTTGTCCTTGCCCTGGGCCTAGCTAGATGTCGTATTTAGATAGGAACTGGAAATTACTATTAACCTTTCTGTTAAATTCCAATATCGTATCTTCTTGTTGGTAGAGCCTGTAAGTTTTCGTACTTGTCTTGAAATTTTGCAAAAACACACAAATCAGCCCTTAGCTCGAGAATGCGTTCTAGCAATTTATTTTTATTCCATCTGGTTTAGATTCTATTCTTATATCTGAATTCTGAATTGTTATATTCATGCAGAGGAGCTAGAAAAGCTTGGGATTAGTGATGGAGTGAGAGGTAAGCGCGCTTGTTTCTATCTTAGATGGGTTGATGTTTATCTTCCTTAAGCGATGTAGATCATTTAGATATCATCATCACTATTTTCTATCTTTGGTTTTGTTTCTCTTTTAGTTAGAAATAAAATCCTGTCTATCAATTAAGGATAATCAATCTATCTTCTAGCTAGAAAGAATGATAGTTAAAAATAAGGTCTTATTGAGCCCTATCTTTTTGGATAGAGATAGAATTATAGTATTTTCAAGAGTTTTAATATTCTAAAATCCATATCCTATAAATAGGGATTTCATGTACTTTGTTTTGATGGGACTTGATTAACATTTGCTCATTTGGTATTACAACTTCTCTGGTTATCTCTCTCTCCTTCTCTCGTTCTCTTCTCTCCCTTCTCTTCTTTCTCTCATTCCTCTCTCATTCTCCTCAATATCATTCCTTCTCCTGCCTTTTCTCCCTTCTTCTCTTAATAATGCTACAACCTACAATTTGATATCAGTACGGGTGGGTGTCAATCGGTTCAATTCAGTTTTCAAATAGTTCAATTTAGTTTGTTCAGTTTTCGGTTTTTGATTAGGTGAACTGAAAACCCAACCGAAATTAATTCGGTTTTTTCGTTTTTTAAAAGGTTCGGATTGGTCGGTTTTGGGCTCGGTTCCTCGGTTTGGACAAAATAGGCTTCAGGTGTAATTCTTTTCAAAAGTTACCCTTTTCTCAAAAAAAGTGTTATATTGAACTCAAGTATCCACGCAGTGTTTTAAAAGGCGTGGGCGTAAGGCGAGGCGTTTTACATATGCCTCAGCGGGGCGTAAGCCCCATAGGTATTTAGTTTTTAATATTTTATACAATAATATAATGACAGTAAATATTTATAAACAGGTAAAATTGCATAAATATTGAAGAAAACTATATTTATGTGTGCTCCATCTCCACAAAAAACTAATCAAAACAATCTATTATACGTTACTTACAAGCACAAGTAATTTGAGTCAAAGAATAAAGTTTTCTATATGGAGGAACAAAAAGGATGAATAACCTGCAATTTGAATTTTGAATTTGCTGCTATGAAGAAAAATGTAGTTCTCTTTGTATTTGTAAAAAAAATTAAATATTCGTTGATTTTGGGAGATATTAGCAGACTAGCGGACAAGATAAAAAATTGGGAAAACCATGAATTAGGGCTTAAATCAATAAAAAGGTCTTTACTTTTAAATTTAATACTTTTGAGTTCCTTTTTAAACCTTTTGAGTAATTACCAAACTGACTTTTGAGAATTTGGGTATTATATGAAGGACTAATTCAACAAATTTTATTTTAATTTGAAAAAGTCTCTGAGGCTTACTCCTTACTAAAAACACGCGCCCCGAACGCCCGGGCGTACGCCTCTTGAGACTTTCGCCCCACACCATCGCCCCGGGGTGTTTTTGGTACGCCTTGCCCCGGGGCTCGCCTCAGAAACGCCTTTTAAAACAGAGGTATCCAGCAATGACACAAGTAAATGAATAATGTGGACTAGCCCTTTATATTTCTATGTAAACAAATGCTGTAAAAATAAGTTGTACACTGCAAAAATAAAACAAGAATCTCAAATTTTATTGAACATGAAATTAATTAATTGTGTTTTATAAAACAATAATATGAAAAAAGAAGATTCTTTTAAGTTGAGACATACTATATTACTAATGCATAACATTTCTTCACCTTCATTCATGGAGAACTCTTCCTGCGAGTCAGAGTATCTGAGAGTATATCTTGATACATTCTTCTTGCATTAGTCCAATCTTTGTAATAGATGAGATGAAAGTTCTTCGTCATAGTCGCACATCCAAGGGATCCGACAATTTTGAAGGTTTATTTTTTGTGTTCTGGGCCGCTCCGAGCTCTCTAACCTGGGGGTTTGGCACTAGTTTTATGCGGATTCTTGGAGAGGGGAGGTCATGGAACCCTATAGAACACTAACCAACCGAGGCCCCTTAAGAAGGGGGCTGAACAGGCTTCGGGTTGTCCCTTTGCAGGTTGCTCCCATTTGACATGTATACTAGACTATCCGCTGCTAAGTTGCAAGAGTTCTAAATTGTTTAAAATCTCTAGCTTACAAATAAGACCCTCCTGTACTTTGTTTTGAGGTGACTTATATAATATTATATAAATTGATTTTATGATTATGGTTTCTTGCTCTATCTCTTTGTCCTCCCTCTTTTTCTCTCTCTTCTTTCTCTCATTTTTCTCAATCTTCTTCTCGTACTTCTCTTCGTGCTCTCTCTATTCTTCCCCGTTCTGCCATTTCTCATTCCTTCCCGGCCTTATCTCCTTCCTCTCCTTATTGGTTCTACATCATTATGATTGTATATTTTTTTAGCGTATCAATACGCGTCTAACAAATAGTCCACTTCACCATGCAAAATTTCAATTTTGTGGAGAAGAAAGGGATTTCATAATATGGTCAGTGATTATTTAAATTGTTGGTACATGTGATTTCTGCAGTGTGTCATGCTATAGGTATTTTCTTACATTGCTTTACAACTGTTCTCTGCAATTTTCTTGAGCCAGAAGTAGATTTGCAACACTCTGCCATTTGGATTTCTAGTGTCTATTTGATGCTCCGAATGCACTTCCTTGAAAACAAAGTAGCAGTTGATCTTACACGTTCTGAATTTGTTGAAGCGCAAGAGGTTTGCTTTCTATCTCTGTCTATTTTGCTCATTGACATACAATATCTTAAAGCTCTCTGGAGTATTTATTAAAAAATGAAATGTAATCAGCTTACTAATTTTAATGAGGTTAATAATGTAGTAGCTTACTAAAACGTTGTACCAGTGAAAATCATGGGTTTCCACGAGTGGAGAAGAGTGGCTTTGTCAAGAATGTTGAGGGTTTAAAATGCTGGAATTAGATTAGAGTATTAGAATTGTTAAGTTCGTATTTATTAGATGTTCTACACAATGGACAATATCATGTGTTTTGTGTTTAACACCTATGTAGCTGTTTTGTATTCATTAAATAATCAAATAAAAATTATATCTTCTCTTTTATTTTCTCACATATCATCTGCGATCTTGTTAGAGACTTAAGTAGTTTTCATTTGCTGGCTGCAGCCTTATACAGTATGCCCGCTTAAAGCTTTTCTGTCTTTTTTCCTCTTTTTGGTAACTCTTCTAGCGACACCACTGTCTTTTCCGTTCCAATGGCACCACGCTTTCTCGCAGTGATAATTCTGGTAGCACCACATCCAACTACCATGTCGACTAATTTAAGTAACTTCTGGTCGAAATGCTTGTGATCAAAGCTTTTCAATGTGATTCTAGCTGCTAAGACTTTTCCAGTAAGATTCAGGTGACTTAAGCTTTTCCAACAAGTTTTCAATGATACTATCCAACAGGTTCTTCGGCATCTATCATGGTTAGCATTTACTTTCAATCTTTCATAAGAAACAAGCTGAAGTTGTTTTTCCCATTTTAAGAGACAAAAAGTCAAGTGCTTTTAAGCCAAAAAACTAAAAACAAGCCAAAAGCAATAAGTTGGTTTATCCCAACTTATTTTTTTGGGTTTAAAAGCTGCTTGAGTTTGACCAAGTAATTTACCCTATTATCCCTTACATACTTTTATTATTACCAAAGTACCCTCTCTTACTAAAACCTCTAACCCGTCTCTTTTTCTTCCCATTTCTTCCTAACTGGTATCATAACCTCAGGAGTATTTTAAACTGATTAGCAATACTTGTTTCTCAACTTCAAAAACTTTCTAACTCGTTCAAATTCCATTTTTGATTCATTTGCAAAACCAAAAATGAAAGCAGAAGGCAAGAAAGTAACTTTTACGTGGTTCTTCGATTTTTAAAAGTACTTCACTTTAATTTATTTACTTTGTGGGTAATTTTATATGAATTGTTTATATAGTTTAAGTATATTTTTTAATTACAATTATTAATTAATGCTTTACCCAATAAGTACTTTATATTAATTAAAATAATCTTATCTAATCAGTATTATAACTTAAATTGAATTGATACACAAATAAATCTGCATTTGAGTTAATTTAAAATTAAAAATGCATCAATAAGCTTATTTTTAGTGTTGACAACTTTAGGGCATCTCGGTCATTTTAACAGAAAAAAGTGCTTACCAGCACTTGTTTACCAAACATTTTAATAGTTTTTTTTAGCTTAAGCACTTCTATCCAAACACGTAACTGCTTATTTGTAAAACAAGTTCAAGCACATAAAAAGTGCTTTTAAGCACTTGTGCTTAAAAGTCACTTTTTTTCAGCCAATCCAAACGGGCTCTAAGTTTTAGTGGGCATGTAAGAATATTGGAAATATTAAGTTCTGTTAGATGTTATCCCACATTGGGCTAATATCATATCTGTCTTGTGGTTAACAATCATAAATAGGTGTACTTTGTAGTCATCAAATCATCAAGTTCTCAACATATCTTCTTCTTTTCTCTTATTTTCCGGGCTTAATTGACTGTTCTTTGCGTTTCGTCTTTAACACTATTTGTTAGCCCGCTTATAAGAAACTGATGCATTTCTCTTGTTGTATTCTAACCAGCGACTGGTAACATGTAGAGGAACGGAGTTACTATAGAAGCCATTTTTCCCCTGCTCCCCTGCTTTGTGTTTCTAAGTTTCTTGCTTTTCATCCTTTTTTCTTTGAATTGGTAACTTAAAAGTACAATTGATAGCCAGCAAAGCTGAAGAAATTACACCCAAAAATGTATGCTAAGCTCATTTTACACCAAATTATGCAAAAATATACATTTATGTTTGAGGCTAACCACATTCTCCATCTTATCTTCAAAAACTCTAGCATTTTGTTCCCTCCAGATAACCCACCGGGTGACTAAGGGAATGGTGTTCCAGATTTTATAGGATGATTTAGACATACGTCTTTTCCACCAAACAAAAAGAAAATCCACAGTAGATCTTGGAGAACATTTTATGCCCAAAGTAGTAAAGAAGAAATACCATATCTGACTAGTTAATTTGCAGTGAATAAAGAGGTGATTGACATCCTCGTCCTCTACTTTATGCAGTGAACATCTTTTGCATAGAGAGATGCCTCACTTTTGTAGATTATTAAGAGTGAGGCATTTTCTCACTGCTACAAGCCAAGAATATGATTGCCCTTTGTAGGGGGCCTTGTTCTTCCCTATAGTTTCCCAAGTCCAAGGTTTAAAGAGGGAGAAGTGGATAACAAAGCAGAATAGTAGCTCCTTACTGAAAAAATACCTCTGTGGTGAGGTTTCCGGAACAGGAATCTGGTTTAGAAACCAGAGGAACACCGTTAAGGAGAAGTGACAATTGTGTGTAGTCCTCTAGTTCTCAATCGTTGAAATCTCTTCTGAAAATAACGCACCACCCTGAGTTTTGCCAGATGTGCGCAGTGGTAGAGTTAGGACATAAAGAGCATCTGTAGAGTCCAGGGTAAGTGTCCATCAGAGGCGAAGGGCCGAACCAAGTATCTTGCCAGAATCTAATTTTTCTACCATCACCAACTCTTAAAGATGATAGACCCAGAAAATATCCGTTGTTTCTGTTAGATGGTTAGTAATTGTTTAAATGAGTATAGTTCCACATGGAATAGGATTAATGTATTTGTTATAAATAGGGGTCCTTGTATTATAGTTAAACATATCAGTAATATATTTTTTTTCTCAAATGGTATCAAAGCTATAGTGCGAAATAGTCGCTGTGTAATCTACCACCGATTCCGGGAAGAAACAGTTCACCGTGCAACTTTTCCGTTGACTGTTTGCGTCAAAGTCACTATTTATCAGTATTGTGCACAAGCCAACGTCACCACAAGGTCCATCGTAGTCTTGCGACTAAACCCTATCAAACCCCACCGGAAATCTCCTCCCCAGGCGCCCTCACGCGCCGGACAAACAGGGATTTTCCGGCGAGATATGCTACATGCGCCGGGCGCATGAGCCACCTTCCGGCCAGTTTCCGACAAAACTTCTTCGGGACAGCTTACTTGGACAGTGATTCCGAGTCCACTAGTACTATTTCCTACAGATTCCAACTTTGGAATTTTCTGGTGAGCTACAATAAATTTTCCGGCGTGAACAGTATTCTGTCCAGTTTGAGCAGTGCTTTTTGCAATTTCCTAGTTTTGTTGGGATCTTCTGAAGCTATTCTCATGACTTCTTGAAGTTGATCACGGATTTGGTCAATTAGAACTCACTTCAATCCAATAATGTCTTTCAATTTGGATGCTTTTGGTTCCAAAAACAGTGGAGTTGTAGATTCAGCCTTCATGATTACTTCTGAACCACTACTTGGGTGTTCAAATTATTTAGCTGGGCCTTCATCTGCCGAATTGTGATGTAAAGGTCAAGGTGTTCAAGATCACTTAATCAAAAAGACTAGTGAGGGAGATGAAAAGGCCAAAGCACTTTGGGAAAAGATTGATGCTCAGTTATGTAGTATTTTGTGGCAATCCATTGATTTCAAGTTGATGCCTTTGTTTCGTCCATTCCAGACATGTCATTTAGTTTGGGAAAAGGCTCGTACTTTATACACTAATGACATATCTCATTTCTATGATGTGATATCACAAATGGCAACTTTGAAGAAACAAGAATTGAATATGTCTACTTACTTGGGATAAGTATAGGCCGTCATGGAGGAATTTGAGAAGTTGATGCAAGTTCCTGCTGGTGTTTAAAAACAACAAGAGCAACGATAGAAGATGTTTCTAGTTCTTACACTCGCTGGACTTCCTAATGACCTTGATTCAGTATGCGACCGGATTTTTGCTGGTCCGACTGTCCCTACAGTTGATGAATTATTCTCTCGATTACTTCGCCTTGCTGCAGCGCCAAGTCACACAGTGATCTCATCACAGACAGCTGACTCCTCTGTTCTCGCATCCCAGACAGTGGAAAATCGGGCATCTCAGACTATGGAGAATAGACGAGGAGGAAGCCGTTTTGGAAAGTCTCGACCCAAGTGTTTTTATTGTATTAAACTTGGACACACCCGTGAGGTGTGTTACTCTTTGCATGGTTGACCACCTAAAAATACTCATGTTGCTCAAACCGAGACTACAGGTAACCAGGGGGTTTCTTTATCTGAAGGGGAATATAATGAGTTTCTTTAGTATCGAGCAACTAAGTAGACACCTCCACAAGTAGCCTCTGTTGCTCAACTGATACTTCTGTTGCTGGTAATTTCTTTGCTTGTGTTTCTCACTCTACTACTCTTGGACAGTGGGTCATGGACTTAGGCGCCTCTGATCATATATCCTGGTAATAAGTCACTTTTTCAAATATTGTTTATTCACAGTATTTTCCGAATGTTACTCTAGCCAATGAAGTCCAAACAAAAGCAAAAGGAGTTGGACAAGCTAATCCTTTATCCTCTGTCACTTTAGATTTTGTCTTTTATGTCCCTGACTGTCCTTTTAGTCTTGCATCTGTTAGTCGGTTGACTCGTGCCCTCCATTGTGGTATATATTTTATTGATGCTTCTTTTGTATGCATGACCGCAGTACGGGACAGACAATTGGCACCGGGCGTGAATCACAAGGCCTTTACTACCTAAACTCACTCAATCCCTCCACAACTTGTCCAGTTACATGCCTTGGCATTTCTATTCGCATCTTTCGTAGTATAATGCCTTAATACTATCCTCTCAATTTCAGCAGTTTATGATTTCTCAGGGAATAATTCACCAGACATCTTGTACGTATACCCCTCAACAGAATGGGGTAGCAGAGAGAGAATAGGCACCTCATTGAGATTGCTCGCACACTTCTCATTGATTTACCTGAAGGAAGAGAAACAAGCTTCCAAGTACCACACGCATGTAAAGCAGACATGCAAGACTAAAAGATTAGTCAGGGACTTAAAGAACGGAATCTAGAGTGACAGAGGATAGTGGAGTAGCTTGTCCAACTCCTTTTGCTGTTGTTTGGAACTCATTGGCTAAAGTAACAGTCGGAGGATACTGTGAATAAACCACAATTGACAAAAGTGATTTATTACCAGAAATTTGATCAGAAGCACCTGGGTCCATGACCTATTGTCTAAGAATATTAGATTGTGAAACACAAGCGAAGGAAATACGAGCAACAAAAGCATTAGTCTGAGCAACGGAGGCTACTTGGGGAGATGTCTGCTTACTTGCTCGAAACCGAAGGAATTCATTACATTTTCCTACAGATAAAGAAAACCCCAAGTTAACTGCAATGTCTGTTTGAGCAACACGAACATCTTTAGGTGGTCGACCGTGCAAAGAATAGTATACGTCCTGAGTGTGTCCAAGCTTATTACAGTAACTACACTTGGGTCGAGATCTTCCAAAACGACCCACTCATCGTCGATTTTCCATAGCCTGAGATGTTTGATTTTCTTAGATGCAAGAACAGAAGAGTCAATTGTTTGTGATGAGTCACTGGGTGTTGCTGCAATGCGAAGTAATCGAGAGAATACGTCATCAACTGTAGGAACACTCGGACTAGTTAAAATCTGATCATGTACTGAATCGAGGTCATTAGGAAGTCCGACAAGTGTAAAAACTGCAAACATCTTCTGTCATTGTTCTTGTTGTTTCCCAACACTGGCAAAAAATGGCATCAGCTTCTCAATATCCTCCATAACTGCCTGTACCTGTCCCAAGTAAGTAGACATATCCAATTCTAAATTTTTTTAGGTTTGTCATCTGAGATATTACATCATAGATACGAGATATTAGTATACACAGTGTGAGCTTTTTCTCAAACTGATTAATACGTCTAGATGGACGAAACAAGAGCATCAACTTGGAATCAATGGATCGCTATAGGAGACTCCATAACTGGGCATCAATTTTCTCCCAATGCGCTTTGGCTTTTTCATCTCAATCGCTAGTCTTTTTTGTATAAGTGATCTTGAACACCTTAGACCTTGCACTACAGCTCAACCGATGAAGCCCAAGCTAAGTAGTTTGAACTTTCCATTAAAGATTCTAAAGTAATCATAAGACTTAAATCTCCAACTCCCATATTCTTGGAACTAAAAGCTTCAAGTCCAAGAGACATGGTTAGATTGAAGAGAGGTCTAAGATGCTTATTAGTAAACAAATCTTTGAGAGAAACACCAAAAACACCAAAATTCAGAGAGCTCGCCAGATTTCAACTGTAAAATCAACCGTATAGTCGGAAACATTGTTCCGGTGACTTCTGCCTCACGAAATCTAAATGGGTCAGGTTAGAAAAGACATGCGACCACCACAAAAGAAAAATTAAACTTGAAAAATGCTGGAAAAAGATCTCACGTGACGGCGCATGAAGTGTCACTCTCGCTGGTACCCTAACTGCCGGCGGTGTGTGACATTACGTATGGCGTCTTATACCGGAGCGCCTGACTGGGGTTTGGTCGCGGGTGATAGGGGAACCTTGTGGTGGTGTTGGATTTTGCACAATCCCTCAAACTGATTTCAGCGCAGTTAGCTTCGCAAGTCACCGGACAATTGCACATTGACTGATGTTCTTCCGGGATGTCGCCGGAGTGATGCACAACAACATTTTCTTACTGATGCTTCGATATCATGTGAGAAATAGCCGAAAGTTATTATTGATAATGCGTCTCAACTATATTCTTACTCCGAGCCCTATTTATACACATACTTTACATAGTATATACTACCTATTTCCAATGTGAGACTCTATATGTAATGCTATATACACTTAGAGGTCGTTTGGTAGAGTGCATTAGAAAAAATAATGCATGCATTAGTTTTGTGTATTAGTAATACCTTGTTTGGTACAATTTTTCAACCTAATGTATAACTAATACAAGCATTAGTTATATACCCTATTTGGTATTATCCTATATATAGCTAATACATAGCAAACCGTGGTATTAGCTATACTAAAATTATTAATACAGGCATATGCTTAGTTAAAGACAAAATTGCCCCTTCAAATTTTATGCATGATTAAAATTCTTTTTACCTATTTTTCATTAATGTAAATAAAATACAGGTTGACAATTTTTTTTTTGTCACCTCGTTTTCTAATACTCCCTCCGTTTCAATTTATGTGAAACTATTTCCTTTTTAGTCCGTGCCAAAAAGAATGACCCCTTTCCTCATTTAGAAACAATTTACCTTTATGCAATGATTTATAACCACACAAAATATATGTGCCTCATTTTACACCATTTGTACATTGTACAGGAACTCGTGATTAATTTTGTTCTCACCCTTTCTTTATATAATGTGATACCATGCGTTAATTATATATGGAAAGGCTAATAGAATCTTTTTGTTTTAATTTAGGCATTGATGCAGATGAGAAATTGGTATATTCGCTTTCCAACAATTTTACAAGTTTGTGAGTGTGTTATTGAAATGCTTAGAGGACAGTATGCACATTGTGTCGGCTGCTATGATGAAGCAATTTGTCATTTCCTTGAAGCTTCAAGGGTATGTATAAATTTGAATCCATATCAAAAGAATCTTCCAGTAATTTTTGGTAAGAGTATAAATCAGCTGTGTGCTTATTATTTTTTGGGATAGAGATAAGATAGTTTCACTATTCTTATATTCCTTTTCCCTCGTGTGGATAAACTTAACCAACAACTGATTTATGGAAGACAGATTATCTTGAGTTATGCATCTGGATTTATGCTTCTTGATGCATATGGACTTCTTTGCATCGTACTGCTGTAGGACAGAAGTGTAATATCACAAAGTCTGACTGTTCGAAAACTCCATTGTAAAAGTGAAATACAGATATTATAAAGAATTTAACTGTTGCGTTTTGCTTGTATCATATAAAAGATGATAACAAATTGCATTTTGATCATAGAGGTAACTTATAATTTAATTTGAGCTCAAAAAAATATCCTGATGAAAAAAGACCGAGCTACTGATAAAAAAGTATTTAATTTGAGCTCAATTGTGAAAAATTGCTTGTACAGTGAATGTTTAAAAAAGAAGTTTGAGAAAATGCTTGGAAGTTCTCTCGTTTTTAAAAGGTACATCTAAGGATGAAGTAGATTGAACTCCTATTAACACATAGGTGTCCGCACTAAAAGGAGATGAGGAGAAGTTGAAAGTTAATACTCTTATTTGTGCAAGGGTTTGAGGTACAAATCCTGGAGGACGTTTCTATAGGGCGTTGTCATGTTCGTCGGTCTCAACAAATTCTCTCAACCTTCAGTCTTGAATAGATACTAACCAGTGTTTGTGGAAGTTCTTGGAGAATACCACAATGTAAATGGATCAACACCGTTAAAATAAAGTTGCCTTCTTCACTTCAGCCGGTTTATTTTCTCCTTTTTTCACTTCTACCGGCTTGGTCAAAGATTCCATTTTTAGTACTTCTATTTCTATGGATAGTTCTGTATCTGCTTGATGCTTCTTTAAGAAAAAGATATGAGCATATTTCTCTCACCTTTTCCTCTGTAGGTTGGCTGCTAACTCCCATTCCTGCCCCATTTATGCTACTAAATCCATTTGGTCAACCGTAGGAAGTTTGAGAAAGAGGTTTTCTTTTTCCTTATGTCTTTCCTTTTTATGAGTATATTCTTTTCCGTGCAGCTAAGTGAGAACAAATCAATGCAAGCCATGTGTTGTGTTTATGCAGCAATCTCTTACATCTGCATGGGAGATGCTGAATCCTCAGCAAAGGTTCGCACAGTTCCTGCTATTATGGAGATACTTTTTTTTTTAACTCTGTTTGCTGAGAACTTTTGTTCTGCAATAGGCCCTTGATATGATTGGACCAGTTTTAGGAGTGATGGATTCTTTCACCGGAGTGCGAGAGAAAACGAGTGTCCTTCTTGCTCATGGGTTTCTGCTGATGAGGCAGCAAAATCTACAAGAAGCAAGGTAGATCTCTTAACCAAAAATGTTCATTTTGGTGATTCTTGTGTTTTGATTTGGATTTTTGAGTTCAGGCTATTTCATGGAAACCAAGCCATGTTCTATTTCTCTGCAATGGTATGCTTAAGTACCGTACAAAAGCTCAGTAATGACTACTAGCCTTTTTTATAAGATAAAATAATTTTATTAATAATGTCTCCCATATACAAGTGGTATGCCAAAAAGTAGAGAATACACAACATAATATGATTCTCTATGAACGAAAGCCGATCTTCTTTTTTCTTTTTTGTCGAAAAAGAAAAACAAATTATTCAACCAAGTATAACTATGTACAACTTCTAGCTCTTTTGGACTCTCAAGCTAGTTCCTCATATCTGTGAGAATTAATAAATCGGAAAATTATATTATTGATGTACATTAACTATGATACAAGTACCCCTATTTGTAATAGTATACAATACTTACACTACTCCTATTCCATTTAGGACTATGCTTATTTACATAACAACTAACTAACACTCCTCCTCAAGCCGGTGCATACAAATCATATGTATCGAGCTTGTTATATATATAACTAATACGAGGACCAGTGAGGGACTTGGTGAACATATTTGCAAGCTGATCGTTCGACTTCACAAACTTTGTAGCAGTATCTCCTAAGAGTATCTTTTCTCTGACGAAGTGACAGTCAATCTCAATGTGTTTAGTTCTCTCATGGAACATCGGATTTGATGCAATATGAAGGGCAACTTGATTATCGCACACAAGTTGCATCTGGTTGATTTCACCAAATTTAACTCCTTGAGCAGTTGTTTGATCCAAACTAGCTCACATGTTGCCATAGCCATTGCTCGATATTCTACTTCTGCACTAGACCGAGCAACTACATTCTGTTTCTTGCTCTTCCAAGACACTAAATTGCCTCCTACTAAAACACAATATCCAGACGCAAAACGTCAATCAGAAGGTAATCTTGCCCAATCAACATTTGAATATTCAACAATCTGCCCATGGCCTCGATATTCAAACAATAACCCTTTGCCTGGAGCCGATTTTATATATCGAAGAATGCGGACAACTGCATCCCAATGCCCATCACAAGGTGAATCCATAAACTGACTTACAACACTCATAGGAAAGGAAATGTTAAGTCTAGTCACTGTGAGATAATTTAATTTACCAACCAACCGCCTATATCGTGCAGGATCGCTAAGCGGCCCCCCTTTCTTGGCAGAAGTTTATAATTCGGATCCATCGGAGTGTCAACAGGTCTACAGCTTGCCATTTCTGTCTCCTCAAAAATGTCTAAGGCATACTTCCGTTGTGAGATCACAATGCCTTAGCTAGACTAAGCGACCTCAATACCCAGAAAATACTTTAATCTGCCCAAATCCTTAGTATGAAAGTGTTGCAAGAGATGTTGCTTCAATTTAGTAATATCATCCTGATCATTGCCGGTAATAACAATATCGTCAACATAGACCACCCGATAAATATAGAGACAATGCCGATAAAACACAGAGTGATCAGCTTCACTACGGGTCATGCTAAACTCCTGGATAACTGTGCTGAACTTACCAAACCAGGCTCGAGGAGACTACTTTAGACCATAAAGTGGGCGCAAGCGACATACAAGGCCACGAGACTCCCCCTGAGCAACAAAACCAGGTGGTTGCTCCATATAAACTTCATCCTCAAGGTCACTATGAAGAAAAGCATTTTTAATGTCCAGCTGATAGAGAGGCCCATGGCGAACAACAACCATGGATAGAAAAAGGCGGACTGATGCTATTTTAGCCACGGGAGAGAAAGTATCATTGTAATCGAGCCCAAATATCTAAGTATATCCTTTGGCACCAAGACGGGCCTTAAGTCGATCAACTTGGCCATCCGGACCAACTTTGACTGCATAAACCCAACGACAACCAACAGAAAGTCTCACTTACCTCGAAATCGGCAAGTCCCCCCAAGCACTCAAATCCCAAATCACCTCCCAAATAGCCCCCAATGAAGTCAATGGTCAAAGTCAACTCTGATCAAACCTCGAAACCATATATAGAATCGGATTATCTATTGGCTCATGATTTCATAAATGTTATTAGATTCTTTTTTTTTAAACGGTAAATGTTATTAGATTATTAATCAGAGTCCAATCACCCACTCAAATCCTCAATTTACTAATTTAGAAAACTAAGTTTCAAATCCCCAATTTCTCCTCTTAAATCACATGTTTCTATGGTTAAAATTCAACCAAATTCGAAACGATGTTTTAAAAGATATTTTTGGGGTGAGCCTCGGGGCGGGGCGTAGTAAAAACGCATTGGGGCGATCCAAGGGGAGAGGGGGTAAAAGTATCCTGAGACGTAAGCCCCATTATTCTGGGCGTATGCTTAGGCGTTGACCGAGTTTTTCATTTGGGGCGTAAGACCAGAAAACCTTTCCAAATTAAGATCAAAATTGCTAAAATAATCTTTATTTTAATACCAAAAAACACAAAATTCAATTTGTTATTACATGCTAAAAAGTTGAAAACTTACGGGTCAAAAGATACTTTATTCCTGGTCTTAATTTTTATTCCTTCTCTTTGTCTTCTATCGGTTGATGAAAAAATTTTCAATTTGCAAACTATAAAACAAACACGCATCATCCTTCATGATTTGCTCTGGTTCAGCGCTTCTTATTGTAGGTTCCTTCTTTGCTTTTCTTTCTTTTCAAGTTGCTTTGCTCTTTTAAGTTAGCTTATGAATTTCTATTCAATTTTTTTCGAAGTCTGATATTTTTTTATGAAGCAGTTTTGGATTAGTTTTTTTATCAATTGCTGATTCGAATTAGCATTTTAAGATGCAGTAGTTCTATCACTTATTTTAAATTTTCTTGAAATTTCTAAAAATTCCTTTGTAATTTTACCTTATTTTAATATTTATTTTTATTATATTAATTTATAAAATATTAATAATTAAAGACTCATGGTGCTTACACCCAGTGCTTCGAGGCTTACACCTCGCACCATATCACATACAATGCCTCGCCTCCCAGCCACGCTTTTTAAAACACTGATTCGAATACAATCATCAATGGATGTTACAGAATCATTACCTTAGATTAGGGTTGAAATCAGTCCAAGAAAAATCACTCACAAGCTCTCCTTTTCCGAAAATGGCATAAAATTGGGATTTGAAATTTCCACTATTCAATTTATACTGTTCTGATCTGGTCTTCTCCCTGATCGTGGAATACCTCGTGCGATCGCAAGGGTCAAACTCCTCGTCACCCCAGGTTTTTGTTTTTTGGATCACAGACCACAACTTGCATTTGCGAAGGTCAAAATCATTGACCCTCGGGGTTCGCATCAGATCTCACGCGACTTAGAAGGCTTCTCAGCCTGGCCAGCAACCCCTAATTTGCTCTTTGCGTTGTTCCTGAAAATGACATAAAATTGAGATTTGAAACTTCCACTGTTCAATTTATATTGTTTTAGTCTTCTGCGATCTAAGGCTTCTCAGCCTGGCCAGCAACCCCTAATTTGCTCTTTGCGTTGTTCCTGAAAATGACATAAAATTGAGATTTGAAACTTCCACTGTTCAATTTATATTGTTTTAGTCTTCTGCGATCTAAGGCTTCTCAGCCTGGCCAGCAACCCCTAATTTGCTCTTTGCGTTGTTCCTGAAAATGACATAAAATTGAGATTTGAAACTTCCACTGTTCAATTTATATTGTTTTAGTCTTCTCCTTGATCGCAGAATACCTAAAGCGATCACGACAGTCAAACTCTTGGTTAACCTAGGTTTTTCTTTTTCGCACGGGCCACAGCTCATGTTCGCTAAGGTCAAAATCATTGACCCTCCGCGTTCGCAGCAGGTCTCACATGACCGTGAAGGCTTCTCAGCCTGGCCAACCACCCCCAATTTGCTTTTTGTGATCGCGACCACTTGGTCCACCATCACATGCACCAGAGATTTCAGCTGCTGTTTTTGATTCCCAACTTTTCCGAAACAACCCCGAGCCCGGTCTCACCCAGAGGCCAGAACCCTTCCAAGAAGTCAAAAACAGTTATATCAACTTGTAGACATGCTCGAAACACAAATTGGAATGCTAATACTAAAAAAGAGGGGTCGGATTGTACTATCTATGTAATTGCACCACATATCGTCCTTTAATATTTCTATATTTTTTACAGTATTCTCTTGTAACTCATTTGTATCAAGTTTCATACCAAGTTAAGTATCAAGTTAGTGAGAAGACATTTAGCTCTATAAAACTCTCTTCCCCTCAAGATTTTTCACTCTCCTATAGGAGTACCTAGTGCTTATAGGAGCCATTTTAACCTATCCAGAATTTTTGTATGTTAGTAGAAAATTTAGAGAACCCTTAGTGTTAGAAAATTCAAAATTATTCAATATTAGAGTACAATCTGTCTGAATAGAGTGAAAAGGTATTGTGGATTCGTATGCCCAACTAGCTTTGTATTGAAGCGCAATAGTCGTAGTAGTTGCTGTTGTTCTATTCTTATTGCTTTGTTACCTTACTGCAGAAATCGACTTGCGTTTGGCTTGCAGACAACACATAATACTTTGGGAAATTTGCAACTTGTTTCACAATATTTGACTGTTTTGGGGAATTTAGCACTTGCCCTCACTGACACTGTACAAGCTAGGGAGATTTTGAGGTCCTCTCTTACATTAGCGAAGAAGCTTAATGATATTCCAACTCAGATCTGGGTACTATCGAATTTGACAGGTTTCACACTCTTGATTATTTATTTCATGTGACCTACTTTTTCTGTTGGATAAGGGTAGTCACCTGTGGATATCTAGTGCTTTGTTCTGGTTAAATGATTCTTTTGAATGGCCAAAACAACAGAGTTCATGGTATCCTTAATATGCTACAAAATACGTTGTGTGTGTGTGCGTGCCTATTTATGTGTGTAGTTCAGTGAACATAGTTCTATATTTCTAAGAGTAAAGTTTTCCTCTTGATGCAACTTTTTGTCTTCACCCTGTTTATTGAGCTTTCTTTTTCCTCCTAGCTAGAAGAGATATGCATCCCGAGATTTTTTTTTTTTGAGTTTCCTTTCTTACTACGTTTTCCTTTTCAGATGTACACAACCTCCTTTTCCTCTTCGTGTAGTCAAGGGTAGGAAGTAAATGAGCATGTGACAGAGCCGCCCGGGGTAGGGCAAGCCTTAACCCACTAAAGTTTTAACCCGCCTTTCCTTGCCTCGCTTAGCATTTTTTGATGATTTTCCCTGACCCGCCTTGCCCCATTTGTGTTTCTTTCATTTTTACTTCTAATTTTTCACTTTGCAGTATTCTATTAAGTTTTTTTTAGAATTTTTATTTGAACTTTGAGTAGACAAAGTCTTGCTAATATGTTCCCGTTTTCATATTTGATTCATGCTTGTTGATACTTATGTTCATTTTGGCCTCTTCAACTCAACCAGTGAAAGGAAAGATCCAGTAGAAATTGTATGCTGATTGTTTTGAAGTTAAATTTTCGGTGTTTAAGTGAAATAATTCAATATAATTTAAAAATTCTCAATCATTTCATGTAATCAACCATGATTTGCTTTTGCTATGAGTAATTTTTTGTTGTTTCTAACTTCTAAGATACACACCCGCTTCTCCTTACTGGTCACTCACGATTTTTGTACTTTGTTTTATGAAGTTGTTCGATCCCCAATATTAGGTTCAATTGCACCATTTTATTAAATGTTTTTTTTTGGGGTAAAACTAATTTTATTTATTACTAGATAGCAACATTTCACAAAATAGATGTCGCATTGGGATCATCATTCCTAGTATAGACAGTACCGACAAGATTCGACGTAGTAGTCCTATTTTGAGCACACAGGTTATCAAAGCTAGCTAAATTATTACAAACGCTGGATAGCTAAATTATAACCACAGCTAGCTTGCTTGTCACCCTGGATAGTTGCCTTTGTGAAGTAAGGAGGGGTTGCAAAATGGTGTTTGATGTTCCCCATATCCAACATTGATCCTTCCTTAGCCAAGAGATGTGCAACTTTGTTCCTGTTGAAGTGTGCGACCATCTCATCTAAAAGCTTAAGCTGTTAGAGAGAACACATTTTTATTTACTTAATTATGTTTTCAACACGCCCCGTCACGTGCGGGCTTGATTCTTTTTTATGAGAGAAACACGTGGAAATTCTTTTTGATATTGGGTGGCGGTGAGGCTCGAACCCAGAACCTCTGCCTGCTCTGATATCATATTGAAGTGTGTGACCTTCTCATCTAAAAGTTTAAGCTATTAGAGTAAACACACTTTTATTTACTTAATTATGTCTTCAACATCTTTCCGAAATTTGTGTCGAATCACTGGACTCCATGTTAGTTGCATTAACGGCCTGCACTCATATAAAATAGAGTTATAAATGGGGATTATTTTTTCAAGGAGCTGAAGTACCTCCTTCGATTCAGTTGCAATCTCCACAGGTAACAGGTTTTGATCTAGTGCCAGTTATAGGCCAAACTTGAGAGCAAGAAGTTCCGCATGGGTGTGATTCAGAGGTCGCATATTATAAGAGAATTCCAAGATCCAGTCTCCATTATGATTCCTGAAGACTCCCCTTGGTCCGCCCATACTAGTAATACTGGACAAAGTTCCATCAATGTTTAACTTAAAATAGTTAAACCACTTAACTTGCACTGTTTTGAGAATCTTCGGATTAGTAGGCTTGTTTGCGAGTAATTTAAACTTGTTAAGTGCGCATGCAAACCATGTTCTTAGAGAGATCATTAGAAAGGTTATTTATATTATTGTTGTTTCTATTGATCCAAAGGTTCCCAAAACAGAAGGGAAGGAATCAGTTATAATATGCTTACTAGTTCTAACCATATCTAGCCAATGACTGCCATTAGGGAGAGCACTACTAAAATAAATATCAAACTGACTCCAGTATCTAGAGGCAATCCATGAAGATGTGTTTGATAGTTTCAGGATTACTTCTACAGGCCATGCAAGTAGGGTCAATATTTATGCCTATAAGGTTGAGATAGGATCTGGTGGGTACTCTCTTATGGTAGCATTGCCAAAGAAAAAAATTTATTTTATTTGGCAGCGAGAGTTTCCAGATCCATTGAAAATCAATATTAAAAGTTGTGCCTGCATTAATGATGCTATAGACAGACTTGGCACTAAACATGCCATTACTATAAAGTGACCAGTGAGGGGTATCCTTGGCATGGGAATACAATGGGAAAGTGAGCTTTTTGATGTTATTAGTAATGTGATCCGGGATGTCAAAAGACAATGTCGAAAGATTCTGTTTTCCATCACTCCTTAGGTATTTAATTTTTAAAAGAGTGTCAGTGGCAGACAGAGGACTAATAAGGCTGCTTCTTAAAGATTGAAAATTGGGCATCCAGCTTGAGGTTCAGAGGTTTATGTTATCTCCATTGCCAATAGACCAGTTGATGCCTTTATTACAGTAAGTCCAACCTTTCAAGATACCCTGCCAAATGAAGGAATTATTACACTTGAAGTTAATGTTACCGTATTTGCTAATGAGTAATTTGGCCCAAAGGGAACAAGGGTGTGAGATAAATCTCTAGGTCAAACTGGTGAGTGAAGCATAATTTTTATCATTCGCTTTTCCTTAGACTGGGTGACGGTATTCCAATTGATCAAATGCAATTTCGTTGGATCTTATCAATGGTCTGAAGAATCTTTCTAGGAATATGGTATATTGTATGACATGGTTGGGAATACTATTGATAGTAGAGTGGGCAAGGGTGGTTCTCCTAGCAATGTTGAGGAAGTTTGTTTTCCAACTAGCAAGTCTCTTCCTCATATTATCAATGATGAACCGATAATCTTTAGCCTTAGGCTTTTGGTCCTGGATAGGAAAGCAAAGATATTTTTCAAAGGAATTACTTTCCTTAATGTTAAGACAGGAGGTGATCCAATTCCTTAAATCATCAGGACAATTATGGGAGAAAATGATGGATGCACTGATGAAACACATTCAAGGGGAGGTGTCGTGGTATATGTTATTTGCAGATGACATTGTTCTGATTAACGAGACGCGATATGGTGTTAACGACATCCCATGGTATTTCGAAAGGGCCACAACTAGTAGTACCTTCAATTGCAGATTACCCTTCTCTCTTTTCTCTCTGCGCCGTGAGAACAGATTTTATACTTAAAAAGAAGCAAAAGAGAAATTAAAAGAATACCCTATCTTTAACAACGCCGAAAACCTTGAATCTCGGCGCTTCTCCCCTTTCTATTTCTCTCCCCTTCGCCTCCTGCGTTTGTGTGGGGAAACACCGGCCGAGTCCGTCAAGACCAGTCAATTTTCCGGCGTAGATCCTGTCACGCGCCGGCGCGTGAGATTCTTTCTAGGTGGTTTTCTAGCGCGTGCGTCTCTTCTCAGTGATCGAAGCTCAAGAACGACTGCTCCAGGTGTCTTGGATTGTCCCTTCCAGCCAGCTCGTCGCGACCCATCCTCGTCGGTCAGATTTTCATCAACTTCAGGGGCTGCCATGCAGGTTCTATCATTCCTCTCTTGTCCTGGTATTTTGATTTTGATATTCTAGCTTAATTGTATCCTCTTGTCCTGTTATTTTGATACTTTGATATTCTAGATTAATCGTCTCTTCTAATTTTGTTCTTGAATCTTTACTTAAGTGTTGGCCCTATCAGTGTCAAATTAGTTGCACTAGTGATAGCTTTGCCTACCTGTTTTATATTGCTCTCTACTTGTTTATAGTTTTCTTTTGAATCTTTATTTAGTATATCCCATAATAGCTTTGCCCATTTTCTCTGTGACCTCTAGTTGTTTTTTGTCAATATTAGTTGGAGAGTATATTTCGATTATTCATTTTATTTTTGTCGCTTGTTTTCGGGGTAGTGTTTGCGTAATGTCTCCTAGATTATAGTGGCTTTGGTGAACGATGGTAGGGTAAGAGGGCTAAGAGAGCCTCCAGGCTGAGAATGGGGTCTTGGAACATAGGAACTTTGACTGGAAAGTCTATAGAGTTAGCGATGATTCTTGAAAAAAGAAAGATTAATGCAGCTTGTATACAGGAGACTAGATGGGTAGGAGATAAGGCGCGGGATATGGGCAAGTTCAAACTATGGTATTCTGGGAGGACGTGGGGCAGGAACGGGGTAGGTATCTTGGTTGATGAGGACCTCCATGATCTAGTGGTGGAGCTTAAGAATGTGAACGACAGGCTGATGACTATTAAGATAGTTGTTGGAGGATTTATTTTGAACATAATCAATGCACCCCAAACAGGGTTGGACGAGGAAGTCAAAAGGCGTTTCTGGGAGGATTTGGATGAGATGGTGCGTGGTAGCCCGCATACTGAGAAACTTTTCATAGGAGGAGATTTCAACGGCCACATTGAAGCGACGTCTAGGGGGTATGATGATGTGTATAGTGGCTTCGGTTTTGGAGATAGGAACGGATGAGGAACTTCTTTGTTGGACTTTGCTAGAGCGTTTGATTTGGTGATAGCAAACTTGAGTTTCCCGAAGAAGGTGGAACACTTGGTCACCTTCCGGAGTTCGGTGGCCGTGACTCAGATTGATTATCTTCTCTGCAGGAAGTCCGATAGAGGTCTTTGCACGGATTGCAAAGTCATCTCGAGTGAGAACCTCACGACCCTTCATAGGCTCATGGTCATGGATCTTGAGATCACGAGGAACAGGAGGAAGAGGGCGGTGTATAGCCAACCTAGGATCAAGTGGGGAGCCTTGACGGAAGCCAA